ATAAAGTTATTCTAAAGTTTTAATTAAGAAAATTATTAGTAATTGCATTAAAAAATTTTAAAGATAGCTTTTACAAAATAAGTTTGGTAATAGGTAAATTTTTACTATTAAACTTAGTAAAATAATTCTTGATTTCAGTTTTACTAAAAAAACTTAGTAATAACTGCTATTGCGACTTCAGCTTTACTAAGAAATCTTAGTAATAACTGCCATCTTAGCTTTGTAATATTTTTATTAGTAAAAAATATTTTTGAAGTCACACACGCATTTTTTACTAGGTTTCTTAGTAAAAAATGTTTCTAAAGGCATAAACACATTTTTTTACTAGGTTTTTAGTAAAAATTTTCTCCAAAACTGCGAAGGTATTTTTTACTATGTTTTTCTTAGTAAAAAGGCATTTTTGAAGCTATAGATGCACTTTTTGTTATAGTTTTCTTAGTAAAAAATACATTTTCAAAGCTGCAGAGGCGCTTTTTACTATAGTTTTCTTAGTTAAAGCCACTACTGAAGCTTTAGAGATGGCTTTATTATTAATTCGAATCAAATTAAATATTTGAATACTTGATTTGAATTTGATCGAATTGAATCAAAATTTGGATTTGATTAAATAAATCATTTTTTGATTTGAATTTGATTGAATTAAATCAAATATAAATTTGAATTTATATTTAATTTGATTTTCAAACCAAATATTTAAATATTAAATCAAATTGTAAAACCCTAACCATAATAATAAAATTTTTAATAAAAATTTTTTTATAAAATAAATTTAATATTTTTTATATTTTTAAATTATTTATATTAAATAATTAAATAAATTAATTTTAATATTGAATTTATTTTTATTGAGATAATTTTTAAATTTTAAATCTTTATATTTGCAATATATATAATATTATTATATCTTATAATAATTTTCTTAATTAGTAATTATATTTATTATTTTTAGAAATTTAAGTTAAGACTCTTTAATTATATATGAAAAGTGGTTAGTCAAAAGGAAGCAATCCAAATTTGTCAAAATTTATATTATTGAGTCACTTGGCTGATCTTGATCATGTACACAAATTTAGCTTAATAATTAAAATTAATAAATATTTTGAATTTCCCTTTTTTTACTGATCACCTCCCATATAGTAAAAAGATATAAAGCTTTATAAATTTTTTGAGTTAATGTTAAATCTTAACTTTTTTTACTATAAAAAAAAATATTTGTCTTATAAAATAAAAATTTAATTTTTTAATATTTTATATTTTTCTATTTTTTTTTTTTAAATTAATTTTTTTTCTTAAATATAATTGATTAATTTCTCCCTAAAATTTGATAACACTTGAATAGATTTTTTAAATAAATGCCAATATTTTATATAACTTTTTATGAAAATGTAATCATTAAAATTGTTTCTAATAAATATATTAATAGAAAAGTTTAGTAATTGGTCAATTCAGTTAGATTTATTAGAATAATTTTTATTTTTTCTTTATATTATATATTTTATTTATTTTTTATTTTGATATATATATATAAATATATATATTTGTAATTGCATTAAATTAATAAACTTTTTAAAGTATTATATAATTAAAAAAAAAATTATATTATCTTAAAAATTTGCTAATCTAACATAGATTTTTCAGATCAGATCAGATTAGATTACAGATTAATCTAATCTAAAAAGATGATAATTCAAATCAGTAAACTTCACATCCTATCCGTCCAAGAACTTAGAATGTGATACCTATTTGTCACATAATATTCATCACACATCATATCACAAAATTCGCAATTATCACATTATCCTGTCACAAAAGGCATCATTTTAAGCTATAATAAATTCCTTTCGATCTGTATATACCATATTTTTCATACAGAAAGTCAATAAATAACTATAAAATATGCAAACCATCGTACGATATACTATAAAATGATTTCTATAAAAAAATAAATATTGTTCTCTTTTATTTAATTTATTATTTATATTTACATGAAATAAGGATGAAAATTATAATGCTGTGAACTATTTAATAAAGAGACGCCTGAAGCGTCATTGTTATAATATTAGCTGAAGACGCGCTATTATTTATCTGGTGTTGATGTTTCGATGTATCAACGTACATGTTTGTAGCAATATTATGATAAATCCTAAGTCCAATGTTCTTATCATTATTAAGTGTTATGTACGAATTAGATGCTGAATGTATGTAATTTCCTGATTCTTGATCGTGTATTGGAAACATGTTTGACGCTTCCAAGTTGGAATCATCGGTTGAATGACATCATTTTGACCATGTAAATCCTTTCCCAAAGTTTCCGATACTAATTTAGATGAATTATCATTTGAATTTGATTCTTTTGAAAAAGTAACGATATTCCACTTTTCTCTTTCCTTCTTCTTCACAGATACAGTTTTAGGAAACAACTGATTCTTTATTTCGAAAGCTTGTTTGGAAATTCTTGTATATTCACCTTTAACAATATCAGATTCACGTTTCCAATAATTTGAAACCATAGAAGAGATAACGGTCATTGGTAAATGATAACCTTCTTTTCGAGCACTTCCAATAAAAACATTATGATAAAGGATAAAAGCGTTTGGTACTCTTTTCGGTATAAGATTCATATTATTGCTTTGTTTATGATTTTTATTTAATACCAACTTGTATGGATCTATGCAAGGTGGGGATGGAAGTTTTATGAAGGATGGTAAATTAGAATCATGTAACACTTTAATTGGTATCGATGGATCACTTGAATCCAGGAAAATACGTTCACGATTTCGATTTGATTCTGATTCTGATGATGACATTTTGGATTTGAATTGAAACCTTTTGAATCGAGAGAAACCCTTTATTTATATGTATATTTGATTTCTTTTCTTGATTATTGCTCTATTAATAATTTTATATCCATAGCTTCCATAAAAGGGGATTTGTTGGTGTATTACGACATCAAGAATTACTGATAAGATTACTGATGTTTCATAGTAATATGAAAGTATACCGGATTTGAACTCATAGTTAGTCGTAACTATTACCAAAGTGGGTTGACAATCAAATAACGTTTTTTCTTCTCCTCTTAATGAATAACGTCAAAAAAATTTTTTTCTTAAAATTTACCCAATGAAACAAAATTCCCAAGTTTAATCTAAAAAAAATTCTCATCATCACGTGAACAGAATAAATTCATGGGTACTTCCCCCTCCCTCATTTTGTTAACGAGGATTTGCACTGCACGACCTTTTTTCCTGCACATCATTTTTTTGATTTACTTTTTACTATCCTCAAATAGAACTACAACAAATCCATTGATTGGAAGGTAACCAAATAAATAATGGAACACATTCAAATCATGTATAAAAAATAATCAAACGTCTTTGATCGTAATATATACTTTATATTTATTTTTATTTATTTATGTATTAATAAAAAGGAATAATTCAATTAAAATACAATAATTTTAGGAATGGTTTTTTTTTTTAATATTCATGACCCATTTTTTTTTTTTTTACAGTCTTTCAACAACTTTCCAAATATGGAATAACCTAAAGATGATTTACATTACATTTTCGGAGTAAATACATTTATTTCCGATTCCTGTTTACGCATGAATAAAGTAATGATTGATGCTTTGTTTTTTTTGCCATAGTACAAAAAAATTTTTATCAAATTAATTAAAATCTTTTTACATAATAAATATAATAAATAAATGAACTTATTAATAAAGTATCATAAATGTGAAACCCCGTGAATTTAATTTAAAAAAAAAAAAAAATTTTTCATCAAGAATTTATTTCAAACAAAGAACAGACGTTTATTTACTCGTCGTCAAACCCTAAAAATTCCCATTTTTTTTTGTAACACAAATTGAAAGTACTAATCCTTTCAATTGTAATAATTTTTTTGAACTAATAATATGTGATGTCGTAACATGATTTTACGACTTCGCCAAAAGTGGGCTGCATTTGCGTGACTCGTTCAAGAAATTTAAGTTGCTTCTACGAACATTCCAAGGGTGGATGGATAAACTAAATGAAAATCCATTAAAGGGAACAAATATAGTAAACATAATATAAAATTTTTTTTTGAAAGGATAGCATTTTGTACTATTTGTTACTGTACCAACCTAAATAAGGTGCTAACAAATTAGGGAAATATGTCGTCGATCTTTTTGTCTTAAAGCAGATTTTGCCTTATTATATTTGTAACCTGTTACACCATAATCGACAAGAAAAAAAGTTATAAAATAGGACGACTTGCTGAAAATTGTCTCGTCTCCCGTAAACTAGCCTACAATCTTGACATCACATACTGCGCCCTTGTCTTTTTAATAATACATAATAATCACACTCACTAACAATCCTCACCTACAATACTTTCATTAGACGCGTTAAAATGCCCAAAAGTCAGAACTACCTTCATAGGATGATCATCCCTTTCCCGCCAAGTATAAGCGTTGATAGTTTGTTGGAAAGATCTCGAAACAATAGTTCCAAACCTGGAAAGGTACCAAACTGTTTCCTTATTTATAGACTGGTTTGGACGGAGCAACTAAAATTATTTGGAATGAAATTAGATTTGTCAGAAATTTCTAACTTTGTCGGACTTAGATGGAAAAACGAAAGTAAAGAGGTTAAAGATTTTTATAGAAAATTATCATCCGAGGCCAAAAAAAAATTTCTTGCCAATTCCAAAGCACGATTTATATATCATGACAAATGTGATTTGAATTACATCGAACAACTCCAAGATGATGCTTCACCAAATTCACAACATTCGCCAGAAAGCGTTTCGCCTGGTGCGAGTTTTTCACACTTACCCCTGCCCATGGATATTAACCAATCTTTTCCCGATCATGATCCCACAATGGATTACTTTGCAGGTTTAACCAATGGGATTTCATTTGAAGCTGAACCTTCTTTGCATCAAAGTTGCAGCCTCAAGGAGAGAATCAATGAATTTCTGCGGTTAATGTTCTCCATCACTCCAGAATCATGTAGAAAATTACATGATATGGAAGGAATAATTACTACTGAAGAATTGGAAAGAATTAAAATTGTTCTTGAACTTAATAAATCAATGATGTTTGATCAATTTATATCAAAAAGTTCATCCAAATGTACCTTGCTTAATCACATGTCTGCAATTAAAGAGAAGATGATCGAACTGGAATTCGCCACTTCAGATGCGTTCATTGACATTAAAAATAATTTTAATTATGATTCTATTTTGAATTATGAATTTAATACCACCAGAGAAATGTTTGAGCCAACTCCGCAGGACTCGGTTTTCATTAACGATTATACACAATCCGTTGGTTTTCATCAACAATCGCCAAATCCTCCCGAATGCTATGATTTTGCGGGTTCTCAATTTAATAATAATAATAATAATAATAATCCCTTTTTGGTAAATATTCTGTTTCAGCAAAATAAAAATTTAGTTGAAAAAACCAAAGAATTAGAAGAAAAAGCAAAGCAATATGAAAGTAGAATTGAGTACTTAGAAGAACGATTTAGACACGTTCAAAATATTATCAAAGTTTCAAAGGGGTTGATTTTTGGAAACAATGATATTTTATGACATTATATTTTGAAAATTTTATAAATATAAATATCAATGTATTATAGTCTTAGCAATTTAATTGGCATGCATGAGCACGCAAACGTTTTTTCCTTTATTAAAAATAAAAAAAAATAAAAAAAAAAAGACAAAAAAAAAAAAAAAAAAAAAAAAAGATTATACATATGTGTGTGTGCGGTTTGTATATACAATCTTCATATTATTTTAATAATTTTTCTTTATAGTAGGAGTCTCGGGGGGTTTTTTTTGAAGCCATTTTTTTTATTGTTTGTAAACCTTGTAAACAACATGAATAGTTTGAATAGTTTTTTTTTTTTTTAAAAAAAAAAATAAAATTAATAAAAGATGTTGATAAACTATAAATTTCCCTTTATATAATTAAGAGTCCTAATCATTCGGGAGTAAACTAATCAGAACAACAAATAAATCCTTAAATGTTTAAATTAAAAGAAAAATTACATAACTTTACTGTAAACATTTCGGAAAATGTTAATTTTTTTGCGATTTACTGTACATGTGCTCCTGTGGAACGAGTACAAAGGAACAGTGTTCCGAACCAATGAATTTTTTTGCTCCCTAAAACCTAACTTTAAAAAAGCTTTGTCCATCGACAAATACCACAAAGAGTTGAACAAGTCACGAAAAATTGAAATTTGGATAAATTAAAAAAAAAAAAATCAGCTTAATAATGTGTATTAATGGACCAGGTTCTGTAGATGGATTTTTTTACCCTTTGAACTAAAGTATGAGATACTTGGAATTTCTTTGTAATATTTATTTCTTTAACGGTTCAAGCGAGATATTGTTTACATATAAGTTACCTCAAATGATGTTATGTATGCGCGCACACACATAATCATTTCAATGGATTTTACGCCAATTTCTAAAAAAGCAAAGAAAATGTCATTCAAGAATTGCATATTTTTTTTTTATTTTTAACATTTGTAATCAAAAATAAATAAAGTAACAAAAAAAAATCCTTGGCGACTTGTGTGTACCCTCCCCTCCCTCCAAAAAAAAAAAAATTTTGTAAAATGAAACAAAACATGAGTGACTTTCTAATAAGAACACGTCTCGTGCATTGATCATTTTTAAAGATCAACTATACATTTACTTTATATAATTTACTTCGTCAAAAGTGTGCTTCTGTCATATGACGTCTCAAAACGCAGTGTCAATTAATGTGAATTTGTAAGAATTAAAATAAAAAATTCCTTAGAGGGATGAAATTCTGATAAAGTTGAAATTTATTTAAGTTCTCGTTTGAAACTAGAACAGTTTTTGTACGATTTTAATGAAAACTATTTTAATTAATAAAGTTTAATGAAATAAAGTTTATGGGATAAATTTTGGTGATAATGAAATAAAGTTGGTAAATAAATTCATAGAAATTAAAGTTTAAGGATGAAATTTTAGTTTAGTGAAATCAAATTTTAATGAATACGCGCCCTTTTTAAAAATCAAGTTGACGTAGTAAATTTCTTCATCATGAAATTTAAATTCTAATGCCTACAAGTAAAACTTTATGTTGCATCAAAAATGAATTAAAGCCAAATTAAAGCCAAAATGAAAAAAAGGAATGACCATCAAATAAACAAACCCATTGGTCTTTCTAAAAATGAACACATAGGATCGGAGCATTCCGGGATTTTTTCGTGATACCATTTTGCTTCGCAAACTTATGGCCTTTTGAGAATATAAAAGGTACGCTTCATCACAGAGGTTTCCTCCATTCAAAGCACCGTTGAATTGTCTTTTAAAAAAAAAACAAAATAAAATAAAAATATACATATACATATATATATGAACAATCTTGTACAGACCAGTACAGACATTCGTCCAACTTATCCACCTCAAATAACGATTCAAGAGATCATTGAATTCTTACCATCGACAAATCCTAGGCGGCCTTTTCAACCAATAAACGGATTTAAAGTATATCGCATAGCAATCATTCGTCAAATACGAACCAATAACAATGGTTTGACAATCCCTGGAAGTTATATTTCAACAAATTATTCAAGGGAATCGCCCGACGTTAAAAGAACTTATCAAAGGTTAGCTATAGAAGTGAATAATGAATTTAGGTATGTAAATTTTGGTTGTACATGTACATCAATGTATCACATGTATCTGCATCATTATGTCTCATGACTGATACAATGCGTTTTTTTGACAGGCAAATTCATGCATGACAAACTTGTAAACATTCACATGACATAGTGCTTCATTTTATTTGTTGTAACTGAGAACTTTACATTAATTTATTAAATTAATAAAATAAAAAATTGTTTGAATCCGACTCTGATTCTTTACCTTTAATTTATGAATTGAGACTATATGCGACAGAAGGGACTGTCATCAAGAATATTGAACTACTGTAGGTGCTACGCCACAAAAATACAATTTATTCCTTAGCAACACTTCCGAGTTGAAATTTTCATCGATACACCATTGGAATTTCTTTCCACTGTTTATAACAAGTTATTAGGAGTAAACATTTAAATACTAATTTAGTAACGGTAATGAATATGAAAATTTCACCACGGTTCCTAATCAATTTTCGTGACGGCATAATTGACCAATCATAAAAATCATATAATAAAAGTTAATTTAATAACATTAACGTTAAAATTATTATTATAAAATATAGCATACATAAAATAATTTTAATAACCTATTTTTGAATATAAAAAGAAAAATTCAAAAAAGTACAATTATTAAATATTGGTAAAGATTTGAATTTAAAGAAATTTCTTGATAATGTAATGTACCTTCACGCATAACTAGTATTATAGATAAACGAAAAATACGATATAAAAGGCTTTAGGATTATTTGAATTAACTCTAGGATTAGGATGTTGTGAAATTTGTTGGATTTATTGAGATTTTTCGCCAAATCCATATTCTTGCAGATCATGTAATTTGCCATACTGTATATCATACAAATTAATATGTGAAATAGGTGAAAGATGAAGAAGGTGTTGCTTAACCGATGTTGCTTTATATTAATTGCCATCTTTTTTTTTATTGTAAAGATAAATTCTACAATTTGTTTTTGAAGCTGAGATATATTATTAAGTTCAGTCATTATTACGATTTTTTCAAATTTCATAGTCCAGTTATTAATAGATTTTTCAGTATTTTTTTTACTTTTGCTTTTTCACGATAATAGAAAGTTTTTCTTGAGAAATATAATATTGTTTGTAATAGAATCGTTAGAAATTAAACTAGCTGCTATTTGAAAACCTGAAAAGGGCATATTTGATGCAGAAAAAATTCTAAAAAAAAATTGGAAAAAAAAGGATATGCTAACAAAAATTTATTGAAGTAAAAAAAATGAGTATATGACGATATACGGAACCGTGATATAAAATAGTTATTTCACGGGAATTTCCATGAATATCATGATTTTCACGGCTGCGCCGTGAAATTCGTTGATATCCCGTGAAATAACTATTACGTATCACAACCAACGATAATACAATACTATTATTACTACTAGCAATTTATGATTATTTTATTTATGAAATTATATATAAAACAATGATACTTGGATTACACGACCAATTAATTTTCGTCATCGACATCCGATTAAATATATCCAGACCAGATTCAAGATTCTCCACGTTTCTAACATATTTACAAATTTTTTTTATATATATATCGATAAATTTGGATTATTTCATAACGCATATAATGCTATAGGAGGAATCTACTCCAAAAACTTAAAAATCATTTTCTTTTGGGATTTGTTCCTACTGGCGCAGATTGTGAGGATGTTCTGAAACCTATAATTAAAGATATAAAAGAACTTGAAAATGACAATGAATATAAATTATGAATGTATTTGGATAACAGGTGGATTGGGTGATATTACGTCAGATAGAGGTTGGAACCAGCTTGGTGTAAATCGATTTAAATTTGGTTTAAACCGGTTGCCGGGTCTGGTTTTTTCAGATTCGAAAACCGGTTTTAATAAATTCGGTTTATTGCGAAAAAAACGTAATGAAACCGATTGAACCGGTTTATGCATTAAAATCAAACTCTAAAATATGATATTTATGTTATGTTAACATAATTATGCAACATTAAAATTTTTTTTTTATATTTATAAAAGAAAATTAATTATTTGGATGATCCAATTTTCGTGACCCTTTTTTTTTTTTAATTTATTTCATGCAAATATGTTATGTAGAAAATGTAGAAATATACTTAGATCCTTACGAAATCATTCCTTCAAATTCTTATTTTCATTGTGTAACTTTAAAGAAATTTTCCTTCGAAGTTTTTGTAATTTTTTTGTGAATTTGCAGTAAGTGTGTGGTATAAAAAAGTTAAGCGTGAAATTAAATTTATTTGAGAAAATAAGAAATAAAAAAAATCGATCGTAACAAAAAAAAAAAAAAACGAAAAAGAAAACAAAGACGAAATAAACTACATCATATCCTTGATAAAAATATAAATAAAAAAAATTTAAAAAAAAGTTTATAAAAAATAAATTAATTAAATAAAGTCATAAAATAGATCAGAATCGATTAAACAAAAATTCCAATCCCTAGTTCCGATTAAAATTATGATCAAAAACCATTTCTCAATAAAAATAAATTCGATTAGAATCGATTAATCGAAATCGAAAACCGAATCTTATAATCGATTCTTTAATCGATTCTACTTTTTAGAATCGATTCCAATCCCTGCCCGGTTGAATCGGTTTTATATAAATTCGGTTTAAATTCGGGTTTCAAATTAAAAAAGTGTTTAAAACCGGTTTGTTAAAATAAAACCGGTTCCAACCTCTAAGTGGAATAACAATACTAATACTGCGCTTAAACCATTGTGTATAAATTAGAAATCATTTATCGATATCATGAAAATTATTTATTCATTTATTGTTATCGTCAGATTCGTCCATTTGAGCTCTTTTGTCAAATAACCTAAAGAACATGATAAAACTTTATTAGCCGCTAAGTTTTGTGTAAATATATTAAATTATGATAAAATAGATAATTTTACCATTGAATTACGTTCACCTTGAATAAATGAATTTTTTTATTAGTAAAGGCAATGTCAGTTTTGTAAGACATCACGAAAAATATTGAATGGATTCTTGTTATATATATAAAAATTAACTATTCATTTCATACTTTTTGTAGACTCGGCAGATTTTATCATTGCACTTAAATCTCTACTTTTATATATAGCGCCAGGATTGTTGGTCGATATAGGTCCAATATCTGGTGAACCTGAAATTTTAGTTTGTATACTACTTTCTGAATCAATAATTTTCTCAATTTTCGATTTTATGTCATCGGCCGTTAGTCTATTATTTGGATCAGGATGCCAACATTCTTGTATCAATTCAATGTAACCTTCTGGTGCATTTGTGACCAATGGAGGGCGAAGACCATCACAAATATCAATAATAAGATCTACATCGTGACTTCGATCCCAAAAAGGCCTTCTACCTGTCAAGAATTCCCACATAATCATTCCAAAGCCATATATATCCGAAGCTTTAGTGTATTTATTACCTTGAAAAATCTCCGGGGCAACGTAAGGAATGATCCCATAAATTTCATCATCTGATGATGATGATTCAAATGCTATGATAGCAATCTCACCTGAATTAAATATATTCCCACTATGAAAATCCTGGTGAATAATATTTACATCATGTATATTTTTAAGCCCATCATTAATGTAATTCAATCGTTTCAACTTATCTGACCATTCGAGTTCGAAGAAATTCTTCGCTAGATATTGTGTTAGGTCTCCTGTTTCATAATATTTCGTAATTATCATATAATCCTTAGTAATGGGGTCTTGAGTGAGTCCAAAATATTTGGTAACATAATTATATTGATCTGAAAATGCGTTACTTGGTTTTATATTTTTATATTTCCAACATAAAGAAAATTCATAATACAACTTGAGCTAAAATAATAAATTCATAATGTTATGTGATTTGTATTACTTGTATTAAATTTTATAATATACTGTTTAGAATAAGTAACTATACCTCATTTAACGCCTTTTCATTGATGATTTCGGAATTGTTAAGTTTCTTGAGAGTAACATTCATTTGACTAATACGTCTATACTCGCTCTTTTTTCTATCCCAATAATTTATTGGACCGTCAATCCAGGTAGCTTTACTAAATCCTCTCTCGGAAATAAATTCGATATCCTTGAATCCATCATAGGGAACAAATTCCATTCTTCCGGTTGTTTTTTTATCATTGGTTAACGTAAACATTATAAACTTATCAATAATTAGATTTCCACTTGGTTTAAATATTGCCTTTGCTTTTTGGCATACATGACAATACTGATCGTTTAAATGTTTTCTTGTACGTTTACATTCGTTACATTTTCCATATTTCGATTGAAACATAACGATACGTTGATTTTGTTGTAAACTTAAAGATGGGTCAATCGGTTAACTAAATTTTTTTATGTCCAAATAAATTTTGGAAAAAAAATAATTTTATTTATTTTTTTTTTTTTTGTTTTTTTCTGATCATTTAAATTCCGTCAGTCCTCATAAATCTGCGGAGGCGCATATCATCTCCATAGTTCATTCACTAAATTACCAAATCAATAAAATAATAATGCAATTATGTTATGTAATACAATTATTTAAGGAAAAACATTAAAAAAATTATTACTACAAAAATTTCCTCATAAATTGATTTACAAGTTGTGGGCTAAGTACATTAAGCTCGTGTGGAAATTTAATGATGTATTTTGTTAACTTTTTACTATAGTTCAAATGTAGGTATAGAGCCTTTGCATTAAAATAATTTAATTGAGGTCAAATTTTAATATTTATTTATTTTTTAAAAAAATGTACATTAGCTGATTATGAAAAAAATATATAAATCTTTGGATCAAATATTGCTGTATGAACGTTCAATCAGAACACCTTTTAAAACCAAACCATTTAACGAAGAGATGTGTTGAGAGAAAATTTGTAGCTAAATTTACACTTTCGATTAATTGGATTTTATAGCAAAATTTAGATAATTATTAAGTATACATATGACGTTATTGAGATCAGTCATGTGGTTTAATAAAATAAAATTGACCAAAATTTAGATTCCTCCCTTTTCTAGTGACTGCTTCCCATATTTTCTCGTTGAATAACTTATTTTTAAATTTTTCAATATTTTTATAGCATTTGCAAAGAAATAAAGCCCAAAGGTTTGTTTTATATAGATTTTTAGATTTTAAGTTTCTTTTATTTTTTTGCTGAAGATCAACATTCACAAGATTTTATTCCGAGTTTGATTCGGATTCCACATGCGGAAGTTCGCAAAGTTTATTAAAACATTTAGGAGAAAAAATAAGTTAACCAAAGGAACATTGCTTTCTTATAATATAAAACAAATTCAGTTGAATTTATTTTATCACCTTAGAAGAAATCATTGATGGATCGAGATCGAAGTCGAGTTGGTACGGTATTATTTTTGGGGTGGGTACCTTCAGATGAGAAGTATGGATGGATAATTTAGGAGAAAATTTTATGTCGAAATAATTGAATTTCTTATTAAAGTCTAAAAATTTATTAGTTTGATTTTGTTTTGAATTATGAGATGTTGAACATCAATAAAAAAAACTGAACATTAATAAAATCTGTACATTGGAATGCAGAAAATAATTAATTAATAATTAACTATTATATTTTAATAAACAATATAATTGGCAAATCTAACAATCTAACATAAAAAAATCTATTTTTGAATTAATTCATTTTAAGGGTAATGTTAATTCAAAAAGCTCATGTTTCAATACCGTAAATGTATTCACTTCATAAATCCACATTTTCTGATTTATGTATTTTGCTTTTTATAGTATGCAATAGCTATATTATTAATAATATAAAATTCATGCATCTCAATATATTTTTTATAAATTAATAAGTAGAAGTTTTGAAGGAAGGAATTATGAGATATGTTTCAAAGTTATAGTATTTGTTTCCTTTCAAAAATAAAAATTAAGTAATGCGTCAAAATGTAGCGCAATTCTTGAAAATATTTTAGCCTAAAGGTGAGGTGGATAAATTTTTAATACTTGCTAAATTAAGTAATAGTATATTAAAAATATCTATACAGACTGATCTGAATTACATCATTTTTACATTATAAAAGAACCATAACTTTCAAACTTTTAAGCATATTTCCCCTCTTCCCCTCCCTCTCTTCTCCTCGTATTCTCCATTCCATCTTTGCTAAACTTACGAGGTCGTTTCTTTCTCTTTTGACAGAACCGTGCAGTTTAACCTCTGCTTCTAATTTGTTTTTATAAACACGCTCCTCCAACATTTTTCACGCTTTTGACAAGAATTTTATTTGTAATAGTTTTCCAGCAACAGATAGTGGTTTCTTAATGTTAACTTTTCACAGATCAGGGTCTTTGTAGCGGATACGGATAGTAGGGCAATTATTTATGGGAAGTATCTTTTTTATTTTATTTCTCCTTTAACGATGTCTAGGCAGGTGATAAAGGGCCATTGTTTGGGTTAAATAGTGATCACTTCCCTTTAGTTTCTGTCCTTTTGATCGTGTCCTCACTCTCACATTACTTCTTAACTGCTTTTGTTAAGGATGTGATTAGTAAATAGGTTTTAGCTTTAAAAAGAGAAGCATTTTCTGGTGGTATCCTTAGTATTAAGCTAAGAGCGACGGTTTAGTACTAGGATACAGACGCTCCCTAGGATTTGCTTATCCATCCTCTTAGAAGTGTTTGCCTTACACGTGAAAGTTTCCTTCGAGGAGTTGGTCTCTTTTCACACGCCTTTCTTTGAGGAAACAACAAACCCTTTGAACACCCATTTTTGATATTAGTAGTTTTTTATTTTATTGTTTAATTTTTCGTTTTTTCTCTTTCCGATACTGTCCTCTAATCTCTTTTTACTTTCATTATATTCTACAGGTATAAGAAAATGAAAAGATATATTATCTGAAGTATCTGACGATTTCTTGGCGAAAGGAGAATACCTTCGAAAAAAAAAAATATTTTTTTTATTGAAACAGACCTGCTGATTGTACTGTACATTTTTTCAAGTTATGCGTTTTTTGAGTTCCTTAATAATGTTCGTTCTCAAATACATCATCCGAATCTTCCAGTTCTACGCTATATTATATATAACATTTACCAAATTAAATAGTTCCAACTGTTTTTCTTCATCATTTGCATAATCATGATTCAATCAATATTTGTCAAGGCACTGCAATACAGTGTTGGCAAATGACCTTGAAATGACCTTGAAATGACCTCAAATGACCTCAAATGACTTCACTTTTATTATAAATTTAAAGTCAAAATGACCAAGGTCATTTGAAAAAAAAGTAAATGACCTTGTAATTTGCCCTCACTACTGCAATAAGCATAGTACAAGATGCCATGCTGGAGACCAGAATTGCTGATGCTTCTCTAATATATTCATTTACCAAACTAATTTATTCTCTTCATTGATTCCTGAATAAGTCGATCAGCCGAGGTGTGGAAAAAATTACGTTATAATTGAATAACACAAATAATTAATGGGTATTCATGAATGGTATGGATTTTCATGTATGGAATGTATGGTTTTACAATTGATGCAAATTCATACCAGTATGGATTAAAATCCATACCGGTATATATTAGATCCATACTGAGAAATTATCCATACTTGGTTATTAAATATATTAAATAAATTTATTTCATTATTGACATTAGCACAGTATAATCATATGATTGATGATAAATACATATTAAGTAAAAAGATTTAGCGGTATGAATACATATTAAGTAAAAAAAGATTCAGCGAATTAAATAATGAATTTGTGATCAATTTAATTATAAATTTCTCAAAAAACTTTTTTATATTTACTAACTAAATTAATTATAGTAAATTCTGAAAAATGTCTGTAAAATGTGTAAATTAAATATAAGACTTATTAAATATATATTCGGCCAAAGATTTAATAATTAAAAAGAATAAACTTTGATATCTTACCATATTTTATGAAGTTTTTTAAGCATTTGAGCATTTATTATATTCATTCTTTTATATTTTTTAAATAAAAAGAAAAGAAATTTTTTTTAAAAAAATAAATTCGGCTTGTATTTATATAAATTATATTTTTTCGTGAATATCAAATTTCCTTTTTGATTATAGATATTAGGCTGATCAATCTCAGTTTTAGCAAAACTAATCACCACAAAAAAACAGATTAGTACGAAAAAAACAAATCAGTTTAACCTTATATTTGTAATTTATATAGTTAAAGTATAATAGATTATATTACATTAAAATCATTATTTATTTTTGAAATTTTATGGAATTGTAAATAATACGTAATATTTTTCTAATAGATGATTAAAGTATATAACGTGGAAGCCGCTTTTTTGAATGAATAAAATAAATATGTTAATATAAAATTTTTTCTGGGGGTACCGAGTACCCCCAGACCTCCTTCTTAGGCTTTTTTTTTATCATTTTTTTTTATTGTTTATTTTTTACTTTCATTATTAATCTAAAAATTCATACTGGTATGGTTTTACATCATTTGCATAACCATACATTCCATACATGTTTCCGAACTACCCTACAATAGACAATCTATAGTATGAATTCGAGAAATCCGGTTAAAAAAGTACAAAAAAGGTTTACCTTGATCCAGTAAATAAAAAAGGGAAAAAGAAATTAGAAACAGAAATAACTTCTGAATTGGGTTCTTTGCTTTTTTGTTTAATTCATTCAAAGTTCATTGGTTATATACCTGCATTCGAAGCATACGTTACACAGAAAGTCACCACCCACCCCACCCTTATAGTCATTCTAATAAGTTGATGGAGATAATACCATTTTTGATGTTTAATTTCGAATTTAGTGAGTAAAATAAAAAAACTATTTGATAATATCAAGTAGAAATTGAATATATTATCGAATAATTGCGATCGAATCTTGAGCTTCGATAAATAGATTCTAATCGAAAAAATTTTTTTTATGTATATGATTCCAAAATTAAAGTTTAACATAAAAATTTATAACTGGAAAAATCTGATAAAACAGAAGATTTAATGTCAAAGTTCAAGGATGGTAATAATTTTTAAACCATTATATGTAAAAAATATTTTTTTTTATTAAAATTCTCGTTCTTTCTATTCAGGACGTAGCGACCAAATGCTTTTTTTTCGAATTTTTTTTTACTTTCGGGTAATTGCTGATTTTGGCGATAAATTGATTTATTCCTGTAGAATTATTATTATATTTCTTTTTTTTTTTTGTGGTTTTTTTAACTTGGATAACTTTGGAGGAATAAGTAAGTTATTTTTTCATTTATTTTGATCATTTTTTTAGGTTCTATCGTGTTACAATATTTTTTCCTAAAATTTTAACATTTTTTTTTTACTTTATAGATTCTTTCACATTTGAGTTGAAATAGGTTATGATTTTTTATGATTTTTTTTGATTTTATTATTTCTACCTTGATATAAATAAATGATTGCACGCTCATAGTGTTTATCAATTATAAACAAAGAAATGAAAGCAGAAGGTTTATAGTAAAAGATGGATTTTATTATCAACGTTGTTAGTGATAATCTTGTTATGACGCACGATACTATTTTAAAATAAAATCATTCGTTGCAAACGATTCGTCATCATAACTGATATGATCGTGCGATTAAATTATATGCGCAGTTAAAGAATTTCACACAGTTTTATTTTCGAATGACATTGCACGAACAAGCTCAAATCATTAAGGCTCAAATTTCTTAAATGCTTTTATAGTAAGAACGAGATCTAAAACATCTGGAAAAAATTTTGCTTTTTTTATGATATCAAACCTGCACAGGTCGACTCATAAATACAAATAATTTATCGTTTTCTATTATCAAATTTATTGATTTTCGATTCTTAATTCACTTAATAAGAAATCAGTAAGTTTCATTGGCTTTCTATAATATTGGTCATAATTGAATACAAGAAAGATTTCTCGAAAAAAAAATATTACAATGATTTGAAAAATTATAATTTGGTATCGAGTTATTTGTGTAAAGTTCGATCTTAATTTCATAGTTTGCTTTAAAAGTACTACATTTGACAAGAATAAGTATTCTTCTGACAAAAGATTATGAACAGCAAACTGTAAGATTATGCTTAAGATAAGACATTACTTAATGAAGTGGAGAAAAAAAAATATTCATTTAAAATCTTCATTAGTGGCTATTATATAAAAAATTATTCGAGAACAATAAAAGAAGAGATCCATTGCAATGCAAGTGAAAAAGTCTAAAAATATCAAATTATTCTTAACAAAAAAAATAATTAAGAAAATAAATTAAATAAAAGGTTAAAAAAGATAAAAATGAAAAATAAAAATACTTTTATATTTATTATTGATACTGGCGAAAAATTTTAGTTGGAAAGCAAAATATATATATATATATAATTATTTATATTTACAAATTAAAAAAGTCTTACTGCTACGCTTCGCTTGGTCAAATTTATTATTCGGCTTTATAAAATAAATCTCTTCCTGCTAGCCTTCATATTACTCTAATCATTGTGTATTATGCAAAAAGCCCTAAACTAAACAAAAATGGAAACGATCACCTATCCGTGTGTGACGTCGCGTGATCGGACAAATTGCTCGTAAAATGAACTTACGTTGATGCAAAGAATCATGGAAATTGGACAACCAATTTAATTAAATCTTTTGACAATTAAATATCATCGCTTCATAAAATATATCGGTTTGATTTGATTATGTAATCCAAAACTTACCACTCAAGACGCAAACACTTTTTTCCTTAGCATAAAGAATAATTGTAAGAAATAATTGTAAGCAAAATGTAATCTGTTCTGTCGTCAATTACGACTAATTTGGCAATGATATGGGTTTTGTGATCAAGAAAATCAGGTTTTGAGAAATTTTTAACTAAAATTAATATCTTATTATGTTTTAGTCTATATATAATAAACAATTAAGATCTCGATTCATTATAAATTTCTCAGAACTTGATTTTCTTAGATCATAACCCATATATATCCCTTCCATCATAATAAATCCATTTCATGATTGTCGAAACTTATGGCACTTTTCTGATTAACACAATTTGGGAAAAAAATCAAAAAAAAATTTTTACTCTGTCATAGTTTATACAAGATATACAAGATATGGTTTTTTTTCACGAAGTCAAAATTTCAGTTCTCAATAATAACATGTGGATTTGCCAATATTGTCGAAAAATTAACTATTATAAGATTAATTTGACTTAAATCACCAAACAAGTGAAAAAATTCATGTATAAGAATGTGATTTTTTTTTGTATAATATTCAATTGTTCATTACTTACCCCATTACCCCATTTCTTATCTTTTCTTTGTATTGTCATCATGAATATGTAGATAATATATCATTAATTAATCCAAATATGCATAAAGAAAGTTTTTCCAAGAATTCTTTATTTGTAAAGTTTCTATATTTCATAGGTTAATTAAAGCATTTGTTAGCGCACGATCAGAAATTTGAGTATTTACACACTAATTCGAAATAAATAATAGTTTTTGTCATTAGTAGGAGCGAAATCAAATTCTACGTACGGTGACACAAGGTGTCCGCTCAAAATTGAGTCGATGCCTGCTGCAAAACATAAAGAATGTTTGACTTTATTGCCTTTTATTTAATAAAAAAATAAATTAAAAAGGATTCAAGAAAATGAAGAGCAATAATAATTAAAAAAAAATAAAAAAAAAAAAAAAAAAGAGAGAGCCCAAAAGAACGGGAAAAGGAGAGAGAGAAAAAAAAAGACCAAAAAAAAAAAAGTTTGTGCGAAAATAGGCGGTTATTTATAGCAAAAATTTTATAATAACAATATAAATAAATATATACAATATAAATGATAGGGTGTGAAAATCATAAATTATATAAATTCTGTAATATACAGTATAATTTTATATAAATATCGCACATTATTTTTTTTTTAATAAAAAAAAAAATGCTTAAAAACATCGATTCCAATAGAGAAATTAATGTTGGCGGCGGCAGCTATACGATTTCTTCTACCTTATCAATAAATGAAATCATAAATACTAAAGAACATTCTTTCATCTTTGATCAAAATACAATAATTAAAGAGAATCGTAATGAAAACGTTCAAATATCTCAAGATGCTATGTTTTCAACTTTTATTCATATAACAGTTTCGAATAATACACAAGGCGTTAATGACGATCTTATGGAGTATTCGTATAATGAGGATTATACTGAAGATATGGACGTTACTGAAAATTAATAGTAATACGCAAATTCATTAAGTGGATTTATCACGATCGAGGTTTCTACATCCTTATTTTCCCCAAGACGGAGTAAGTGGAAGTTCCTATTCAGAAGGTGGCTCTTTGTTTGCTCTTGGACCAATTCACGCAAATCATGGTTGCCCTTATTTAATTCCTTGGATTAATTGCCGAATGGCTTTGGACTTGGTAATACTGATGTTATTTATGGATTGCAAAATTCATCAAGTGGATATCAAGGTTTTCCTGCCGGTGTTATTGATAGTTCTGATAACAGTTCTACTAGCATTACTCAAGTTAGCAATTATCATGAACATGGAATTTTTTGAAGAATTAATGAAGCTCTTTATGGTCAACATTTGGAACGAATGAGTGTGATCGTCATGATAAAGAAATATTTTACCCCTTTTTTATTCAATTTGTTTTACAATACAATTTTATTTTTTTCTAACACTTTCAATATATGTATAAGGATTCAACTTATGATAATTTATAGGATTGTTAATTTTTTTTAAAGATTTTAAAATGCGCGATAATGATATACAATATAATAAATAATCCGATCATGTGATCGTAAATATTTTTAATTAAAAATTTATTATAAATAATGATCTATACGTGTTAAATCAATTAAAAATATATGTTATAATTATAGTTAAAATTACGATTTGAATGGTTATTAATAATCCCCGGGTATTATTCAAAATTTTTGATTTTTGTGATATTATACTATAGGCAGCGCTATACGGTAATATTGCCAATATTGTTCGAGGTGTATAATAGAACAAAATATTCTTTGAATAACAAGATATTTCTTCTCATTTTACCTTTTTGAAGATTATCTTGTACAAATTATTTTATTTTTGATCAATAATAAAACAGTTAATAAATAAATTGTAAGTAAAATACAATTCGGTATAAATCGTAAAGAAAACAAACATGATAACAATACGGTCATTTAATTATTATATTTGTCATTTAACAATTTTAAGAAACGTTGGTAATACAGTGGCGATCATAAATTATGCAACAAAAAAATAATTTTCATTAAAACGAAATATTTCTTGTAATTACGGAAAT